TGTTGCAATATTAACTGTTGAACTTGGCACAAGCTTGATGGTTACAAATATGGCTTAGCTGAGATACATTCAGGTGATGTTACAATTCTTTGACTTCTTCTACAATGAGGTGCTTTAATATTTCAGTTCCCTATTGTGAATATTTACAACTGTTTGTCCTACACAGGATCAAACTAGCGATCTCCAGCCATTCACCACTGGGATCCCTAAACCTCTTTCTTGTTAGATTCTTTCTTTACTCAAGCAATCTAACGAGGTTTCACCTCCAGCTTCCTAGCTGGAATAATATTCACAAATCCTAAGAACTGGCTGAATTTACACTACACCACAGAGCCTCAACTGACTCTGCCCCTCAGGGTCTCATCCGCCTGACTGAAATTATGCCAGAGTCCCAGTTGACTCTGCCCCTCAGGGTTTCATTCCCCTGACTGAACTATTATCCCAGAGTCCCTTTTGACTCTGTCCTTCAGGGTCTCATCCGCCTGACTGATTTTAAACTGTCGTTTTCAAACCTTTCCTACTTAAGCTCCGCCCACCTCCTCTGGCCTGTCACCATGGCAACCTATCTCTCTCAGCTAGGTCATGGCTACAATGTAAAGCATAAACACAGTTTAAAACACAGTATAAATAACACTTCTCTACAGATATTTTTACTTTATGCCAAAGGCACAAAATACAGCCGAGATGAATATGCTGGTTTGGGGTGGGAACTGATTTTGTCATGTTGATTTACTGGGATTTATAGTTATGGTCGACCCTCAACCATAACATTACTTTCGTTGCTACTTCATAACTGTAATTTTACTATTGTTATGAATTGAAATGTAAACATCTGATATGCAGGATGTATTTTGATTTACTGAACCAAATTTGGCACAAATACCCAATACGCTCAAATTTGAATACTGGGAAAGGGGAATTGATTTTGTCATTTGGAAGTTGTAGTTGCTGCAATTTATAGTTCACCTATAATCAAAAAGTATTCTGAACTCCACCAATGATGCAATTGAACCAAACTTGGCACACAGAACTCCTATAACCAACAGAAAATACTGGAACAGTTTGGTGGGCATTGACCTTGAGTTTTTGAGTTGTAGTTCACTTATATCCAGAGAACACTGTGGACTCAAACAATAACTAATCTGGACCAAAGTTGGCATGAGTACTCAGTATGCCCAAATGTGAACACTGGTGGAGTTTGGGTAAAATAGACCTTGACATTTGGGAGTTGTAGTTGCTGGGATTTATAGTTCACGTACAATCAAAGAACATTCTGAACCGCACCAACAATAGAATTGGGCCAAACTTCCTACACAGAACCCCATGACCAACAGAAAATACTGTGCTTTCTGATGATCCTTGGCAACCCCACTTACACCCGCTCGTGACCCTCCCAGGGGTCCCGACCCACAGGTTGAGAAACGCTACAGTAGAGCCTCTCTCAAACCCTGCAATTAGTTCTCCAATCTGAGAAACAGTCTCAGTCATCATTGACTGAGATTTTGCAGCTCCTCATAGCATCATCTCCAAAAGTAGGGAGTCCTTCTTTGATATAATAATAATAATTATTATTATTATTATTATTATTATTATTATTATTAATACATATTATTTGTAACCTGACACTCTTCACATCTTGATATGGACTCAGAGAGGGAGGTGGAAATTGAAGGGTGGAGCCCCACCTAACTTCATTTCTTTGGTTTCCGTCCCTCTAGTTCTGGAACTCAGAGTCGCCACATTCTCTACGGTATGCCTGCTCATCCTTCTCCTCCTCCCCATATTTCCCAACTAGTTCTCTTTCTGTTCTTTTCTCACCTTCCCCAATCCTCTTCTTGCTTTTTTGCTCTTCTCTGCCTTAATGATTCTCCCACTCTCTTCTTCCTCCTTTCTCCCCTTCTCTCCTTCCCATCCTTGCTCTGCCCTTTTCACAGGCGCATCTCTGGGCCCCACATTTGTGGCGATGCTGTCTCCATAGACAAAACCGGGACACAGATTTTGACAGGTTCCTGGAGGCGTAATAACACCTTGCAGGTGAGGACTTGGATGAAAGAATTGCCCTTGAGATTCCAGAGAATGGATTTGAGGGATATTTTGCAGAAGAAGGGAAGGATGAACTGGGAATTATCTCTTTACACATTACATTTAGTCCTCCACATGACCTCCATGAAAGTGGGGAAAAAATGGAAATAAAAAATTGCTATTATCCGAGAGAACAACTCTATGAATTTCTAGGGACCTTGCCACACGCTCTGCTGGAATTGCCAAGAATCTCTGCAGAACGTGGTAATATTGGCGGCGCCAATCCAGAGGGAATAGGGACCCGTTGCCCCATGCCTCGCCTAATCATATGGGGGGAAGCTTCCTTCACCTATCTAAATCCACCTTTCCTTATGGAAAGACGGGAAACCTCCCATTGTCTGCCACCTGCAATTTTTTTGGCGGTGGCAGAGTTTTTTAGACAGTTCTGCCCCGGAGCCATTTTTAACATTCCCTGAAACAGCTATGCAATAACATTGTTATGTGTCTTCAAATCATTTCCAACTTATGGAAACGTATGTGTGACTCACCAAGGTCACCTAGTATGTTTCTATGGCCAAGTGGGAATCGAACCCTGTTCTCCAGAATCATAGTCCAACATTCATATCAGTGTCTCTCTCCAATACAATACAATAATACAATTTCTTGTATTTTTTCCCCTAGATCTGGGATGCAGAAACTTGTGCCAAGATCATGGACATTCCTGAAGACTTTCGGGGCCACTCGCAGGTTGAAAAATCTCTTTCCAACCAAATTTTCAAATCTGCCCACTGTCTCCTCCTTTCACAAAGAAAGGCGGAGCCTCCAGTGGTACAATGGGTTAAACCTTTGTGTCGACAGGACTGCTGACCAAAATGTCAGAGGTTCGAATCTGGGGAGAGCGGGTTGAGTTCCCTCTGTCAGCTCCAGCTCCCCATGCAGGGACATGAGAGAAGCCACCCACAAGGATGGTAAAACATCAACACATCGGGCATCCCTTGGGCAACATCCTTGCAGACAGCCAATTCTCTCACACCAGAAGCGACTTGCAGTTTATCAAGTTGCTCCTGACATGAAAAAATAATAAAGAAAGGCACTCACAAAATGTATTAGATTGTCCACTTTCAAGCTGGCATCTTTTGGATGTACTGGACTACATTTCCCATCATTAGTCAACTTCCCCATTGCCTGTTGCTTGAAGATGAGCGACATTGCAGTCCAACAGATCTGGAATGGCATTTAGGTTGAGGAAAACTGTACTTTCCCTCTTTTTTCCACCTAATTACTCAGATACCCATTCAATGAAAGCATTACACTGAGTAGCCTAGATTTTTCTTTTTCTCCTTCCCTTTCTCCACTTGATTTGGCTCCCTTATTTTCTGCTGTAGATAAATACTAGATATAGTGGCACAAATTGTTTCTTTATGATTTCATTCAATTCTCACAATCCTGCTCTTTTTACTTCCCCAGATTTATACCTGTCATTTCCTCGGTCCTGATCATATCATAGCTGGTGGGAGTAGAAACAACTTGTGCCGGCTTATTGACAGAAGGATCCTCATGGTATGGTTTGTTTGTTTGAGATACTTGTTTGGAGAGGTGGGATGCCTGAATAGTGGAATAAGTGCCTTTGGATTCAAGTCCTAGGATTAATCTCTTTGCATACTATGGAATCATGAGAGTTATTATTATTATTATTATTATTATTAACTTTATTTGTACCCCGCTAGCATCTCCCGAAGGACTCGATGCGGCTTACAAAGGCCAAGGCCTCAAAACACAACATAACAATACACAACCTAAAGCAAATTAAAAACAGTTAAAGCAATATTAAACAACAAGCAATAAACAATACACCAGGACACAATAAAACTGGGCCGGGCCAGAGTAATGGGTACAGATTAAAAGTGCTGATGTGACAGGTGATATGTAAGGATTATAGGGTAAGTGCAGTGTGCCAGCAATCTTAATTTCTAATAAAGTGCTTCTGGGACTTGTTGTTGGAGTTTTCCTATTCTGGAAAGGCACATCGGAACAGCCAGGTCTTCAAGTTCTTTCTAAAGACTGCCAACGTAGGGGCCTGTCTAAGATCTTTGGGGAGGGTGTTCCAGAGTCGGGGGGCCACCACAGAAAAGGCCCTGTCTTGCGTCCCCACCAGACGCGCCTGCGACGCAGGCGGAATCACGAGCAGGGCCTCTCCGGATGAACGAAGTGAGCGTGTGGGTTCATAAACGGAGATGCGGTCACGCAGGTAGGATGGTCCCAAACCGTTTAGGGCTTTGTAGGTAAGCACCTGCACCTTAAATTGGGCTCGGAAAATAAACGGCAGCCAGTGGAGCTCCTTGAACAGGAGGGTTGACCTCTCTCTGTAAGGAGCACCAGTTAACATCCTTGCCGCTGCCCGTTGGACCAGTTGAAATTTCCGAGCCGTTTCCAAGGGCAGCCCCACGTAGAGCGCATTACAGTAGTCCAATCTAGAGGTGACCAAGGCATGGACCACCCCGAGTTAAAGTTTTGCAAGATCTTGAGCCTTCTTCCAATGTACTGGTACATTACCAAATTACCAATTCCATTGCTTAGAGCCATAGCAGTTACAGTGGTGTCAAACTGCATTAATTCTACAATGTAAATGAATGCTTGGAGGACAGCATCATTGTAATTTGCTGGCCAACTTGCTTCTTATCATCCAATTAACTATGGAGCCCCCGGTGGCGCAGTGGGTTAAACCCCTGTGCCGGTAGGACTGAAGACCGACAGGTCGCAGGTACGAATCCGGGGAGAGGCGGATGAGCTCCCTCTATCAGCTCCAGCTCCTCATGCGGGGAAATGAGAGAAGCCTCCCACAAGGATGATAAAACATCAAAATCATCCGGGCATCTCCTGGGCAACGTCTCTCACAACAGGACACTCCTGACACGACAAAAAAAAAATCTAGTTATCTGACTTCAGACACAGTTATTTCTGCTTCAGTAGCGGCTCTTATCTTTTATTTACATTTCGTTCATTGCAGTAATACTTACTTGTTAGCATGGTTAGATGCAAGGGAGAAGAGCCAAGACAAAGAACAGAAATGGAGCCCATCAGATGATGTTTGCCTACTTCCTGCCATCATCCATTACCTTTGTCCTTGAAATGGAGCTGAAGCGTGCCGAAAAGGGAGAGTTCAGAACACGAGCAAGAAATCGTGTTCTGAACCACTTTGCTTTCACTGCCTTTTTCCCCTAAGAGTATTCTAGGCTTGAAAGTTGCTCTTGCTAACTTTTTAACATAGCAATCGTCTAATGGAGGGAAGGAAAGCCCAGCAGGAAGGGATCATGGCGAAGGGGTTTATAATTATGCTAGTGGTCCCCTGCCACGTGTTGCTGTGGCCCAGTCTGGTGATCTGGAAAATAAAGTAATGAGAAAGTGTTGGTATCTAATAGGGCTGGGCGGTTTCGTTTCGTTAATTCGTAATTCGTTAATAATTCGTTAATTTTTTTAATTACAAAACGATAACGAACCATTCTGGAGCAATTTTTTTAAAAAACGAATTTTTAAACACGTTTTGTAAATGCTTCGTATTTCGTTATTGTATTCGTTTCGTTATTGTTCTGAGGTCGTTTCGTTATTATTTCCGCATGTCTGGGGCAAGTTTTTTGTTTAATTAGTGAAAAAAAATTATAATATCACACCAACAGTCAACAACAGAGGGAGAGGGAAGCTTCAGAAGTTTTTGGAGGTTTTTTAGCGTATTTCGCGGTCGCGTCCGCCATTAACGAATCGATTCGTTATTGTTTCGGAAATCGATTCGTTAATGTTTTGTAATTTTTTTCACATTTACGAAATTTTGTAAATATCGAACTTTTTAAAAGGAAAATTTTGTAATTATTTTAAATAACGAAACGCAAAAACCCCCAAAAAACGAATCGATTTTAGAAACAAATTTTCCGTTGTTACCCAGGCCTAGTATCTAATATATGTAATGTCTTTATGCTTGTGGGTAAACAGTATTTCTTGCTATTTCTTTGCCAGTGTTGATGTGGAGATTGTCTGGTTTGCCTACTCTGGAACATGCAACATATCGTTGTCCTTCTTTAGGGGTCCCTTTCAAATCTTTGATACTGCATCTGTCATATACTATATGTGTGTGTGTGTGAATGGCTGGATGGCCCTTTGTCAGGAGGGCTTTGATTATGTTTTCTTGCCTTGGTGAAGGGAGTTGGACTGGATGGCCTTAAGGCAGCATTTCTCAACCTGGGGTTTGGGACCCCTGGGGGGGGGTTGCGAGGGGGTGTCAGAAGGGTCACCAAAGACTACCAGAACACAGTATTTTCTGTTGGTCAGGGTTTTGTGTGGGAAATTTGCCCCAATTCTGTCATTGTGGGGTTCAGAATGCTCTTTGATTGTAGGTGAACTATAAATCCCAGTAACTACACCTCCCAAATGTCAAGGTCTATTTCCCCCAAACTCCATCTGTGTTTATATTTGGGCATATTGAGTATTTGTGCCAAGTTTGGTCCAGATCCATCATTGTTTGAGTCCACAGTGCTCTCTAGATGTAGGTGAACTACAACTCCAAAACCCAAGGTCAATGCCCACCAAATCCTTCTAGTGTTTTCTGTTGGTCATGGGAGTTCTGTGCACCAAGTTTGGTTCAATTCCATCATTGATGGAGTTCAGAATGCTCTTTGATTGTAGGTGAACTATAAATCCCAGCAACTACAACTCCCAAATGACAAAATCCTAATTTTTTGAGTGATGGTCACTCCTTGTGTTGTGAGACGTTTTGTTGCCAAATTTGGTGTGATTTCGTTCATTGGTTCTTTTGTTTTTAAGGTACTCATTATGCACAGAGCATTTATATATATATATATATATATATATATATATATATATATATAAATAATGGAGGGAAGGGAGACATGGGAAAGATCTATCATGGCAAGGGGATTTAAAATTACAGTGAAGGAAAGCAATGCCTTGCAAGAGATTGTTGCAAGGGGTTTTAAACCCCCCCCCCCCCCCCCCCCCCCAAATGGGATGAGTTCCATCGTTACCTTGGCTTTTGATATTGAAGTTTCTCTGATTTTTTTTAAGTAACATGTAGCAAAAAAAAATAATTTCCTGTGTGATGGTTCCAAATGCAGGCAGTGGGTGAAAACCTGAAAAGAAAAACATGTGTGATGGGAAGACAGAACTTGAAATAGGATGTTTGGGGATCTAATGGTATGATTCCCTTTGCTAATCAGATGGTCCTCTCAGTCTCAGAGGAAAGCAAAGGCAAATCTTGCCAAAGAAACCCCGTGATAATGTTGCCATAAAGTCCACAATACCTTGAAAGCATGCAACAGCAAGTTTAGCAACTTCTCTGCATTCAAAACCTAAGACAGATCTGTCAGGTTCAGTTTCTCAAAATTTCAGACTGTTTTTAAAAGAAATTTCTATATAAAAATAGAAGATGGCTGTACATTTTGGGATATGCTTATCAAAAGATGAGATGGAAAAAAGATTTGGAGACTTTCTAATGCATTATTCTCTCACCTTCCTGCCAGAGTACGGGGGCACTGAATGACCTGCCTGGAGGGGTCTATAGCACCCACATCAACAGCCGCGGGGTCTTAGCAGCCACCTCCCTGAACTCCTTGTTCCTGGCACACACTCCTGTACGACCTTGAACCCTCCTTGCGCTCACCAAGAGAGATGCCACCAGCACCTCGGTATGGACAAATCATGGTCTTCCACTAAGGACTTGTATTGTTGATCATGGTCAGTCCCAGCACGTCCTGTTTATATTCACATCTTCTCATCATGTTCTCCGGTCAGCGATACAAGACACTGTCCCTTCCGATCATTGTTTACTTTTGTGGATGTATTCCCATTTCAGACCAAGGACAGATTGGCCATGCCTGCCTCAGCCTTCTCTTCTTCTGTAATCAGTTTTTAAGACCTTCTTGCTGTATTCTTATTGACTGCTGCTGTCATCTAGTATGTGCTAATCGGACTGGGTAATGTTACCAGAAGTCTCTGGGGTTGAAATGCATCCCATAATCCCTTGTACCAAATCATGAGGATATAGCTAAGAAGACAGTCCCATCACAATACACTTTTGATCAAATGTATGGAAGTTTTCCCTTGTATTTCTGCATGAATTGGTCATCTCTACCCAGAAGCTAAGATCTCCCTCCCTCTTTCCTCATCCCAGCTTGGCTACCATAAAACACTGCCTTGGTGCCAAATTAAACCATCATGGCTAGGCCACTTGTGTGCCCAGGATTCCTGGGTTCTTTGGGAAAGAAATAGGAGTCTGCACATACATGAGCGGAGCAGATGGCAGCTCTGGATACTTCCAGATGGAAGCTTCTTTTACCACAAATAATTAGAAAGCATTCTATCTTGTCTTCTTAATGGATTTGTTTCTGGCATTAAGAAGAACAGTCAAAGAAACAACTGGAAAAATGGCAGGTTGCAAGCAGAAGATCGTGATATGCTGTAAAATAATATGAATTACATGGGGTAAGATTAAAAAGCTCAGCTGGAAGCACCTCATGACTCTTGTATTTTCTGAAAAATTGAAGATTTGAGTCCCATAAACTTTTTTTTGTCCCCCTACCAGAGTTAAGCCATGGAAGATACAATAATAAACAATAATAAAGAAGAGTGCCTTTGGGCATGTGTAGAGGGCATTTCCCTTACCATCACGTAATCGCAGCACCCCTCCATGTCTTTAGGATTAAGAGTGCGCACAATGGGAAAATCTTTCAGGGCAAATGGGCTTCTCCCTCAAGTGTCAATAGAAAATTAGAAATTTCCCTTCCACAACCCAAAACACAGAGGTAGAGTTGCAAACCTGGCTTAAATTTATTCTGGAATAGACATGTTAAATGCCATGCTCGGCATCTTTCGCTCACAACCCAAAAACGGGCAAGTCTAACATTCTAGATAAGGGAGAGGTGTTCCCATCCTAAATAACACTGTTCCCATCCTAAATATCTCTATGTCACCTTAGATCATGTTAGCTAAGATCATGTTACAGTAAGATGTAGGAAACACTATATGAACATCAAGCACAAAGTAAATGCACGCAATGATATCCTGCGGAAACTTACTGGCAGCGCACGGGATGCAGACCCAAAATTAATAAGAACATCAACCCTGGCCTTGTATTACTCAACTGCTGAGTATGCCTGCCCTGTTTGGCACAAGTCTGCTCATGCAAAGCAGGTGAATATAGCACTGAACGAGACATGTAGAATAATCACAGGATGTCTCAAACCCACACCTGTTGATAGACTCTATAACCTAGCTCTCATTGCCCCCCTTGATGTGTGGTGGGAAGTTGCTGTAACTGGGAGAGAAATAAGGTTGAACATTGTGAAAGCCATCCACTGCATAGCTATCAGCCTCTTCCCAGTAGACTCAAATCAAAGAAAAACTTCATGAGAACCACTACTCCTCTTAATGTTCCCCCAACAACAGAAAGGGTATCCCTCTGGGCAGCTAAACCAGGTAATTACAACTGGATGGCTCCCCACCAGGGTCTTCTTCCAGGGGCAAACCAAGAATGGGCAACTTGGAAGTCCCTGAACAGACTCAGAAGTGGATTGAGCAGATCAAAAGACAACCTGGCAAAATGGCACTACCTAAAATAATCCTCCACCTTGTGCGACTGTGAAGCAGAACAAACAGCTTCGCATCTGTATACATGAATGGAGGGCAAAAGAGAGAAACGTGCCATGAGGAAGGCGCATCAAGCCAACCCCGACCGGGACCGCCTTCCACCTGGAAACCAATGCCCTCACTGCAGGAGATGATGCAGATCAAGAATAGGGCTTCATAATCACCTACGGACCCACCCTGGAAGATTATCCTACTGGGACAACGAAGGATCACCTAAGTAAGTAAGTACTTGTTTACAATGCCTTGCCTCATGCACAGAGGAAGAATTGTTTGAAGCCACAAACAATGTGGTCGCCTTTGCCTGTTTTTGATCAAAAATTATTTAGCTGCTTGTTCTCACTCTATTTTATCAGTTTTATACTTATTTATGCAATGCTTTTGACAAGAAATAATGAAAAGGGAAAAATGTTTCAATGTGCCATCTGCCCCCAAGCGAGGTGATAGAGGGAATCCGCAGCAGTTGTCATTCTGTCTCGATACTCAAGCTCTGCATGGTTTCCTTCTGGAACTCCTTCGAATCCATGCGCAAGACCCCAGCAGCAGGCAGCTATCACCCCAGTAGAGTCGCTGTCCCCTGTTGCAGAGAAGGGGACAAACAATTCTGAGACCCAGCATCCAGTGGCATGGAAACCTTTCCCAGAAACGAGAACTCCAGATCCTGACTTACCTCCGTGGAACATGGAACGACTGCAAAGTTCTTCCCAGTTGTTCCCTGCACCCAGCAGTGCATCGTAGGCAATCATGGGGGCATCATGCCCACTGCGCCCAGCCCACCCATCCAGGCTGAAAGTTTTGTAGATGACATCACGCTCAGCAGGACTATAGGCAGGAGGAAACTGAGCAGGACCCCGGCCATCAGTAAGACCACGTTCAGAAAGGTACCTAAAGGCAGGAAAGAAAAGCAAAGGATGGATAAACCTGAGATGTTATAACCTTGTTACAAAGCAGTGTGCTGTAGTTGCTGTGAGTTTTCCAGGCTGTATGGCCATGTTCCAGAAGCATTCTCTCCTGACGTTTCACCCACATCTATGGCAGGCATCCCCAGAGGTTGAGGGAAACTAGGCAAGTGAAGTTTATATATCTGTGGAATGTCCAGGGTTGGAGAAAGAACTCTTGTCTGCTTGAGGCAGGTGTGAAGGTGCAAATGGCCACCTTGATTAGCATTGAACAGCCTTGCAGCTTCAATGCCTGACTGTGCTATAGTGCTTACTGCAAGGAGGGGCAAAATGTAGCCTATAGGTTGCATTCATTTCCTGTTTCTTATATCTATGTCTGCTACCAGCACATAGCAGAGACACTCACTGGAACACCTCAGCAAGCGAGAGTCCAAAAGTGGCAAGCTAAAACCCAGAACCTCAATCCATGGCTGATACCAAATGAAAGACTCCCTCCTGGGAACTTAGACTTGGAAGGAGCTGAACAGACTGCGCTCTGGCACCACGAGATGCAGAGTCAACCTTTAGCAATGCAGCCACAAAGTGGAGTCCACGACATGCGAGTGTGGAGAAGAGCAAACCACAGACACCTATTACAATGCAACCTGAGCCCTGCCACATGCACAATGGAGGACCTTCTTATAGCAACACCAGAGGCACTCCAAGTGGCCAGTTACTGGTCAAAGGACATTTAATAGAATGCCAAGTTTGCAAAATTTGTGTGTGTGTTTAAATACAATACAACTGTTTGGTTTGCTCCTGATACAATAAATAAACACCACCACATATGTTATAATAATGCTTGTTATTGTTGTTGTTTCTGTGGTGCAAGGAAAAGCACATAATTTCCATTTGAAACATGGTGTGCAGAGAATTCACATCTAATTTACAAGCCAAATGATGCTTCCAAGATCTTTGTTCTCATACCCATACCTTGCATGGAAATTGTGCATTTTTGCTATTATTGCTGTGGCAGAATATTTGATAAATGGGTTCATTGGGACACAGAGGGCAATGTGCACTGAATACCAAAATCCGGAAAGGGCAAACATACAATCTCAGAAGTAGACTCCTAATGTTATTGTCTCCTTTCCATCTCTCCCCAATTTTTCCCATCCAAAGTACTTACCATTCCCATTTCTCTTGGAAATAGCCCCATGCCCCCACATTGGGGTCTTTCTCCTCCGCAGCAGCCTGAACATATTCTAAGGCAAGGGGCAGGGTCTTGAGCAATCCTGCCCCCCAGGACTCAAGGGGCAGGCCTTGCACTGCATAAGCAGTGAAAAGGGCAGAGGCCAAAGCTCCCAGATAGCCTACAACAAAGAAAGTAAGTAAGGAGAATCAACATGCTTCGAGGTAAGAAAGTTACAGCCTCTTATTCTCACAGCTTCCTGGCAAAGTAGATTGAGCTACTGGTACAAAAGGGTCCCCTGGTGGCGCAGCAGGTTAAACCGCTGAGCTGCTGAACTTGCTGACTGAAAGGTCGGCAGTTCAAATCTGGGGAGTGGGGTGAGCTCCTGCTGTTAGGCCCAGCTTCTGCTAACATAGCAGTTCAAAAACATGCAAATGTGAATAGATCAAGAAGTACTGCTTCTGTGGGAAGGTAACGGTGCTCCATGCTATTATGCTGGCCACGTGACCTTGGAGGTGTCTACGTACAACACCGACTCTTTGGCTTAGAAATGAAGATGAGCACCACCGCCCAGAGTTGGACACGACTAGACTTAATGTCAGGGAAAACCTTTACCTTTACCTTACTGGTACAAAAGGTACCAGATCCTATCTAAAATTAGAAGATCAGATCGTATCTGATCTTCGAAGCTGACCAAGGCTGGAATGTTATGACCACTTATTCTCATAGAATCATGACAATGTAGATTACATTTAGCTAATAAAATGCTCCAGAAGGACCAGATCTTATCTGATCTTGGTTAGTGCTTGGATGAGAGACTGCCAACAAATATCAGGTTATGTTATAGAGGAAAGAACTGGCATTTAAAACCATATCTTGAAGATTTCTTCTTAATCAATACATACCGTACATCAAGAGGTGGCTTGAAGGTACTTCCATTCATAAAACAGGAAATATAGACTCAGGGCCTTCCACACAACCATATAACCAGAATATCAAGGCAGATAATTCACAATATCTGGTTTAAACTGGGTTATCTGAGTCCACGCCGACATATAATCCAGTTCGATGTAGATTTTATAAGGCTGTGTGGAAGGAGCCTCAATGAGGGAAGGAATAGTCCTGAGTTTGCAAGACCTGAGCTGTTGTAATACAATACACTTTGAGGTGTCTCATTCATAGGCTGATTTGACAGCATTGCAGTAATTCATTTTGCCCCTATCCCAAGTAGCTATGACGACCTGATAGAAATACTTAACTAAAGCTTCCTATGATTTTTAATGGTTTAAGATAGAGAATGATGGTCCCTCAAATATGGAATACAGATACAGCTTTGGGGAAGGGGCCCTAAAAACGGTTCATTTTAAGGTTTCTGGAAGCATATGAGTCTGCTGTAGCTAAAACAGACGAGAGTTTTGCAACATCTTATTCTCTCCCCCATCTTTGAGAAGCACCCCATTTTGGCACTACCTGTGGGGTGGTGATGGGTCATTCTTCCGCTTTCTACACTGACTTGAATCAAGGTGTTGAGGTCCGAGGGACGTGGATACCTGAGGAAAACATTGGTCAGGAATCAGGAATCAACCATTCTACTGTTTTTGCATTTCTGTCATTCCTACCGCATACCCTCTTATGCTCCATTAAGTCATGCTGGCCACATGAACTTGGAGGTGTCTATGGACAACGCTGGCTCTTCGGCTTAGAAATGGAGATGAGCACCACCCCCCAGAGTTGGGCACGACTAGACTTAATGTCAGGGGAAACCTTTATCTTTACCTTTTTACCCTCTTACCTAAGCCCAATGCACATGGACCTCATGGCTGCCCCACAGCCGGTTGCATTGGGGTTGAAGGGGATGCGATAGCCTCCTGGCTCCCCAGGATGCAACTGAGATGTTCCTGCAGCCATGAGAAGAAGATAAAGCGTGATAGATTGGGATGTCAAACGGGCCGAGATATAGAAGATAGGCATGATGCTTCCCCCCACAGTATTTTATAGCATTCTATCCATTGCTTTTATAAAACACTAGCCGTCCCCTGCCACATGTTGCTATGGCCCAATCTGTGTAAATGTATTTTGTGTGTGTATAAATGTGTGTATATATTTGTGTATATGTGTATATGTGTGTTTGCATGCATGCGTTGTAATGTAATTTTGTTTTTTGGCTTTTTAAATCCCTTCTGCTGTGTTTTTCAGTGTATTTATGAGTGATGGTCACTTCTTGGCCTGAGAGGTGCATTGTGTCCAAATTTGGTGTCAATTCGTCCAGTGGTTTTTGAGTTATGTTCATCCCACAAACGAACATGGCATTTAATTAAGTGCTAGTAACAACATCATGGTAACATTATGGTAATGAGAACTGGAATGATATAAGGACGATGAGACTGGCCTATGATTCTACTAAGAGACGAAGCGGATTTTTATGTAGTTTGTAGTTGTTTGTATAGCTATGTGTTTGTAGATACTGACTTTTGTAACTGTCTTTTTATGTGTACTGTACACCGCCATGAGTCGCCCGTAAGGGCTGAGAATGGCGGTTAATAAGTGCAGCAAATAAATAATAAATAAATATAGTTTTTGAGTTATGTTAAGCCCACAAACGAACATTACATTTTTATTCATATAGATTCCACATTAAGGATGGCTTCCTGGATCTGAGTAATCCATCTATCTATAATTGTTACTACTTGCATGAAGTACCTTTTGTTGGGGCATGTAAAAATCAGCTGGTGAGTGTATTAACTGAAAAATGAAAGGCACCAAGCTGATTGGTTGGGCTATGCCCAGAAGCTAGCTGAGCCTGGGATATTTGGCAACAGTTGCATTTTTAAGTTTTCTGTGCAGGAGCTTGCCAAGATAGTTTGTATTTTTACTTCTTGGCTCCTGGAAGAATATTTTTCACATGGACACCTAAGGTCCATTTCCATTTAAATCTCTCAAAGGGTGTTGTGTGACTCAATGCAACTGTTCTCACAACTGTATATATGTTCCTCTGTATAACAAAAGAGTAAACACTTTATTCTTTACTGATCATTTGCATAGCATATCTTTCTCTAACAAGAAAGTGTGTGGATTGGTAAAGACGTGAACTACACATGGTTTTTTATTCCGCCACACCTTTGAGGTATATTACCTAAAATGCTTGTAGGTCCAGGCTTCCTGCCTTCCATGTCTTTCATGGCTTCAACATAGCGTCTGGCCAGCTCTTGGAACAGTTCTTCATCAGTTTTTCCTGAACAGAATAAGCAGGAATGAAAAAAACCCATCTTAAATGCATTTGTCCAACTTTTCTCCTACTTGGCCCAATTACCCCTACCTGATGCCTTTTAGAAATATCAGACTGCAAGTCCCATTATCCAGTGTCGAGTGAGAGAGAGTGAGAGAGAGCCTGAGGTCTGAAACCCTCCCGTTTCCCTTGAAATGTTCCCTTCTGTGCGAAGGCACCATTAAGCAATAATCCATTACACCATTTTTTTCATTGATGTGAGCATGTATATTCAGACCGATTATGTCAGTGCTAGCTAATTAGCCTCCTAGTTTTCTCCCATTGTTTTATGAGAGGATTTATGGCCTTGCTGTGTCAACCATTGTTCTACTCCCATTACATCACCCCTGGTGTTGTTTCCCTAACCCCGGTGAATATGGAGTGCACACTCAGTACTATTACTACTAGATGAGCCTATTGGAAGGACAACTGACATAGAGAGACCTCCATTGAATTTCTTGCAGTTTCTCTGAAAGCACAACTATGCCAATGGGCAAAAATATGGCATCAATTCACTGAGAAGTGGAAATTGCTGATATCCCCCACATCAGATAGCTTTGAAAGTCTGAGCCCTTCTAATCTGGAGCCAACCTTAACATAAGCCCAGTTCTAATGAAATAATGTCCGAGTGCAACATGCTTTTGCAAGAACCACCTCAAATACTTCTGCAAGCCCACCATGGCACCATGCTCCAAAGTTCTGGGTGTTATAGATTTCAGAACTTCCTGCTGCTCACCTGTGGCCAGGGCCTCAGCGGTAGCCAGGTGCAGAACGGTGTCATCGCTGACCGGCCAATCAGGGAGTACTGCCTGGACCTTGCTGAGGCCCCCCATTTCTTGGAGCTCTTGGTGGATCTGGGGGCCCGAAGTGCAGTACTCCCAGCGCTGGTTGCGGTATCCAAGGGCATCACCCGCACCAGAGAGCACCATGGCTGCCTGGTAGCGTTCCTTAGGGGGAACTTGGGAGCTGCAGTTGAATGTACACATGGAGAGGATTATATGAAGCCTGGAAACCAGTGCTTGGAACAATTATTTGTTCATATGTTAATACAGTCCCCATTTGGCAGGGATGATTCCCAATAATCCCGTCATCCCGCTTTTTCAGCTGCTTTTAAAGTGTCCCATTTTTTTCTCCCTCTTTGTCCTCGGTCTACTTCAATGATGATGATGATGACGATGCTGATGATGATGATGATGATTATTATTATTTCCAAAGGGTACTCATTATAACATAATTATTGGTATTTTATTTATTTATCGTGTCGGGAGCAAACCAAACAGTACTGCATTTTTTAACAAACAAACAAACAAAACACAAAGTATGCAAGCTTGGTAGTTGATTAAATGTCCTTTGACCAGTAGCTGGCCACTTGGAGTGCCTCTGTGTTACTATAAGAAGGTCCTCCATTGTGCATGTAGCAGGGCTCAGGTTGCATTGCAGCAGATGGTCTGTAGTTTGCTCTTCTCCACACTCGCATGTCGTGGATTCCACTTTGTAACCCCATTTCTTAAGGTTGGCTCTGCATCTCGTGGTGCCAGAGCGCAGTCTGTTCAGCGCCTTCCAAGTCGCCCAGTTTTCTGTGTGCCCAGGGGGGAGTCTCTCATTTGGTATCAGCCATTGATTGAGGTTCTGGGTTTGAGCCTGCCACTTTTGGATTCTCGCTTGCTGGGGTGTTCCAGCGAGTGTCTCTGTAGATCTTAGAAAACTATTTCTTGATTTAAGTCGTTGACGTGCTGGCTGATACCCAAACAAGGGATGAGCTGGAGATGTCTCTGCCTTGGTCCTTTCACTATTGGCTGCTACTTCCCGGTGGATGTCAGGTGGTGCAATACCAGCTAGACAGTGTAATTTCTCCAGTGGTGTAGGGCGCAGACACCCCGTGATAATGCGGCATGTCTCATTAAGAGCCACATCCACTGTTTTAGTGTGGTGAGATGTGTTCCACACTGGGCATGCATACTCAGCAGCAGAGTAGCATAGTGCAAGGGTGGATGTCTTCACTGTGTCTGGTTGTGATCCCCAGGTTGTGCCAGTCAGCTTTCATATGATATTGTTTCTAGCGCCCACTTTTTGCTTGATATTCAGGCAGTGCTTCTTGTAGGTCAGAGCACGGTCCAGAGTGACTCCCAGGTATTTGGGTGTGCTGCAATGCTCCAGTGGGATTCCTTCCCAGGTAATCCTCAGAGCTCGGGGTGCTTGTCTGTTCTTAAGGTGAAAAGCACATGTCTGTGTTTTAGATGGATTAGGGATCAGTTGGTTTTCCCTGTATAGGCAGTAAGAGCACCTAGAGCTTCGGAGAGCTTCTGTTCTACCATCTCAAAGCTCCCTGCTTGAGCAGTAATGGCACGATCATCAGCATAGATGAAGCTCTCTGTCCCTTCTGGCAGTGGCTGGTCATTTGTGTAAATGTTGAACATGGATGGAGCAAGCATGCTCCCCTGAGGCAGGCCGTTCTTCTGTTTCTGCCATCTGCTTCTCTGGCCCTGGAACTCAACCAAAAAGGCTACAAAGCGGAATCCACGACATGCGAGTGTGGAGAAGAGCAAACTACAGACCACCTGCTGCAATGCACCCTGAGCCCTGCCACATGCACAATGGAGGACCTTCTTGCGGCATCACCAGAGGCACTCCAAGTGGCCAGATACTGGTCAAAGGACATTTAATCAACTACCAAACTTGCAAACTTTGTGTTTTGTCTGTCTGTTTGTTTGTTTGTTTTGTAAAAATGTAATACAATGTCTGGTTGCTCCTGACACAATAAAATAAATCCCTTTCCTCCTTCCTCTCTCTCTTCCTTCCTCCTCTCTTTTTGTCTTTCCTTCCTTCTCTCTTTCACCCCTCCTTCCTTTCTCCTTCCTTCCATCCTTCCCTTCCTTCCCTTTCCTTCCTTCCTTCTTCTTTCTTCCTTCCTTCCCTTCCTTCCCTTTTGTCTTTCCTTCTCTTTCCTCCTCCTTCCTCTTTCTCCTTCCTTCCCTCCTTTCCTTCCTCCTTTCATCCTCTTCTCTCTTTCCCTTCCTTCCTCCCTTCCTTCCTTTTGTCTTTTCCTTCCTTCTCTTTCCTCCCTCCTCTTTCTTCCTTCTTCCTCCTTCCTTCCTCCCTTTCTCTTCCTTCTTCCTCTCTTCCTTCCTCCTTCCTTCCTTCTCCTTTGTCTTCTTCCTTCTCTTTCCTCCCTCCCTTCCCTCTTTCCCCTTCCTTCCATCCTTCCCTTCCTTCCACTTCGTCCTTCTCTCTTTCCTTCCTCCTTTTCTTCCACCACCGGGTAGCCAGTCCTCTTAGCAGGGACTGCTAGTATGTGGCCCCCAAGTTAGAAAGTTTCCCTATGCCTGTTGTAGCATGACAGCACTTTAACTGTCATGGCTTAATGCTGTGGAATCGTGGGAATTGTTGCTTGGCACTGTTGCATTATCCGGACGTTTTAAAGGGTCTTTAACCTTATTTGCCAGAGTTTTGGGACCTCGGTAAACTACAAATCTCAGGATTCCACTCTGAAATGGAGATGAACCCCAAAAAGGCAAAGGGGATTTTTAATCGGCACGAATATTAGGCCTGATTTCCAGCCCATTTTGAATGGCGTTGCAAAATGCAAAGGGAGAAAGCCATTATTGGAAGGGGGGGGGGGATTGAGGGGGTTATTGCAAGGAGATGGGGGTCACGGCTACATTATCATCCAGTGCTGTTTGGTTTTGGCCAAACTGGGGAAGCAAAGCAACGATCAGCTGCTGCTTACGATCCTTCCATGGCGCTTTTTGGCAAGACTTCGGCCCGCCTTCAGCTGCCCTCCTCCACCTCCAAGCTCTTCCTTTGGGGTGGCGAAGCTAAGGGACGCCTCCTCGTCAGCCGGCCAAAGTCCAAGGGGAGGCTCTTAAAGGAAAACCCCCTTCAACCGACCCTCCCACTCAGAAAGCACCAGGTCCTGTCTAATCTGGGAAGCTATGCAAGATCAGCCCTGGCTAGT